TGGGGGGTCCCAGCCGCGCCGTGCAGGTGGGGGGCAGTGGAGTGGCATGGGGGACCTCCACGAGACCCCAGGTAGCAGGTGGCTCCACTCTGGGCACGGCAGCCCCCCAAGCCGGGGGGGTGGCTGGACCACAGTGATCCTCTGATTCGGCTGTGCACAGGCTCCTCTCCAGCAGGCAGAGCTCCTCTGCCGACAGCACCCGCAGCAGGTCCCTGCAGCGAGGGGATGGCATCAGCCCCACATCACAGCCCCATTGCTGCCCCACAGCCCCATCCACAGGCACCCATCGCCCCCCACCGTGCACCTTATCTTCTTCAGGAGGTTGTAGAAGGGGCTGAAGACCCGAGACATCTGCTCAGGGCTCTGCTCCAGGCTGAGGGGACCCTCGGGGTAGATGAGGAGGCCACTGCAAGGGGACAGAGCCTGACTGACATGGGAAGGCTGCCAAGTACCCTGACGCGAGTGGGGAAGGGTCTGGTACAGGGTGGGGAGCACCCAGCCACCCCTCAGGGGGCTGCACCCACCTGATAATGGCCAGGCGAGGGATGGTGAACATCAGCAGTGGTTCATAGCCATCGATCATCTCCTGGGTCAGGTAGCCCAGGCGCAGGGCTCTGGCAGGGGCAGACACCTTTACAACAGGGCTGAGCCCTGAGACGCTGCCCCATCCCCAGCACTGGGGTCCTTGCCACCCCCCGCCTGGCACACGGTAACCCTCACCTCTCCACTGTCTCGCAATAGAGGACGATGATCTCCTGCTGCCTGTAGATCTCCTCAGGAGACTTCACTGCCACCAGCGAGGACACGTAGCTGGAGAGCCAGGGGGACTGTGAGGCTCCTCCGGCCCTGGCACAGCACCCCCCCCACCCCAGCACCCCAACCTTGGCCCCCACCTCAGCTCAAACTCTGCGAAGAGCCGGTCAAACTGGATGAGCACAGCCCGGATGGGCTCTGGGTAGGAGCCGGGCTGGGTCAGGCTCTGCTCCCGCAGCACCGTCCGCACCAGCTCCAGGCTGCACAGCAGGTTCCTGGCCTGGGGCCGCAGCTGTGCCCCGTCCGCATCCTCCACCTCCAGGAAGGTGCCAGCCAGGAGACACTGCCAAGACCGGGGATCATCAGGAGCCAGCGCTTGGGGCGGCCCAACCCCTACCCACCCCTGTGCGCCC